TAGAACTGTCATTGCTGTGGGACCAAAACTGGATGCTATAAACTGTGGAAACAGTACATACATCCTAATTTTTCTAGTGTGTTTACAGTATTATGACGTGCCTTGTAATGTGATCGGGGAAATGTATCTTTAATGTAATGATGCAGTTGCTTTTAGCTATTTTAAAGGTTGAGGCTAGTAATGCTTTTGCCATTTTAATAAATCTAGCTCGCATTTACTCCAGATTAACGTGCATGAAACAATATTTACATCACCAAGACCTGGTTTTAAAAAACAACAAAAAACCTTGAACATTAAAGAACACAAGTGGTTTTTTTTAAATGTCTTTTTAATATTTTTTTGTTGTGAATGGGTAAAAAGTGTGAAACGCACATAACGTTGACAGCTAAGTACATCCTTTAAGGCCAGACGAGGCTCACAGACAGTATAAAAGTGCAGACACCACAAGCCTTATTCCACAGCGTCTGTATAAATATTCAGCGTTTTCTGTAACCACGCACATTGCGATAGTTGCAGTTTTAGAGCAAAAGGGTGTCTAGAGTGACCGGCAGTGCACTGATCAAACTGCTTTTCAACCTGTTGTGCATCTTTATTTCACGTCTGTCCGTCTGCTAAGGCAGCAGACACCTCTGGCCTCATATACCACAGCCTTCACCTCTCCAGCCTTCACCAACAAATACACAACAGCATACACTGTGATAAGTGGTGTGTGTTTACAGCTTGTTCATTTCCACTCTCCAGCTCTCAGCAGAGGAAAAAGAACGGGGGAGAGTGGGAAAAAAGAGAGAAGGGTAGAAACGATGGGGAGAGAGAAGGGGGCTATCGGAAAGTAGAGGGAGGGCTTGCGGGGAGTGTTTTTGTCCTGGAGAGAAATAGCCCTCTAGGTTGTAATTGGAGGTAGAGAAAGGGACAGAGGGAGAGAAAGAGAGTGAGGGAGAGGAGGGAGGAAGAGACAGCAGAAATTGCTTGGCTGGGGCTGTGTGGGATGATAGTGTTTTTGACAGGTAAATAAGGCTGTGATTGTCGACAGTTACACTGCACCTCGCTGACCCTCACACACACCGGCCTCCTCCATCTATATTTCACTCTGACACACATGCTGACTCTCTGCCTCTCTCATGTCTCTGCTTACACACACACACACACACACACACAAACAAACACACACGCATTTATGCACATGAATGGCATGCGCACAAGTTTGCTTATGTTATATTAAATGCACATGTTAAGAGTCCTGTTGAAATGACTTTAAGCTACTGTCATATGAATGATCACTGAATAGCAACTTCCCACTTCCAAGAGCATTTCTCATTTGTAGTGATCCTTAAGTCCATACACGTTACTTAAATGATGGTGACTCACTGCAAAGTTTACCACATAACATTTTAAAATGCACAAAAAAACCCCAAACAACATTTAATCAGTGTACCATCCATCTACCCTAGCATCTAAATCTAGGCAGGGAGAAAATAACAGGAAACATCATCAAAAATAACTACAGAGTTATTGCAACATATCTTTAACAAAATAGAGACACACATAAGATTCTCAAATAAGGCAGTTTTTATTTCAAGTGGATTGTACGTCTAATTTTATCCACCTTTGTGTAGATCTGCCTTTATCTTCTGCTTTTAAAGATGGATAGACTGCTGCTGTTTCTGCAACACCACCAGTAGTATCTCTTCTTCCTACCCCCTTTCCCCTTCCTTCCATCTTCCCATTCTCTTTTATCAAGTCAACAGCAGTCTCCCCCTCCCCTCCTGCCTGCCCTTGCCTCCCTCCTCTCCTCGCTTCTCTCTTGCTCACTCCCTCTCTCACTCTCTCTCCCTCTCTCACTTCAATCTCAAGTGTTTTCAATTTTATTCTAGAGTGGAATTAACTACCCCCGATGTCAAATTGCCGACGAAATCGATAATAATATCTTTACAAAAGAGGATATTCCAGTCTCTCGCGTCGGCTTTTGAAAAATGGAAAATTTAGCCGAGATTGATTCATTAGTTGACACGTTATAGGACGGTATAAGTATTGATCGCGGCCTGTCATGTCCCATCTCGGCTAATCGAAGCTGAGGCGCTCTGTCGATGGGCGCATTTTTCATAATTCCGTCGCCGGGGAGAGAGACCAGCCGGCAGAGGCGACTGCAAGGCACAGAGAGAAAAAGGGGAGAGTATAGGGGGGCAGAAGAAAGATAGACGGGGGGAGAGAGATGACTTGGGGGGAAATAGGTAGGGGGCAAAGAGTGGAAGAGCGAGAAATAGAGTGAAAAAGAGGCATGGGGTAAAAAAGGAACAGGGAGAGAAAGAGAGAGCGGTTTTGTGTGTCTGTGCGTGTGCGCGGGTATAGCCGTGTGTCCATACGGCATCTCCTGCCCAGAGGCCTCGGGGTGAGGCAGTGATGGAGCCACGGGAAGGAGAGGCTATGTTAATGGTGCAGGTATTGGGGCGTAGATAATTAATGCATTAACTAATTAAAGCCAAATGGGGGAGATAACGAGGTGGAGGCGAGTATAAGGAAAGGGAAAAGACAGCGGGGTGGAGAATTAGGGCGACAACAGGGGGAAGAATGGGTTTTAATGGCGAGCGGGGAGATGCGGAGAGGTGTGAAAAGGGAGAGATGAGAAGGAGGATGAGGGAGACGGGGGAGGTGTTGGGTGGCGGGGGTGGGAGAGCTTGAGGAGTGGAGGGGTGAAATAAATAGAAATTGAATGGTTTGGGTGCGAGCAGAGAGAAGTTCTGAGGCGGAAAAAAATATAAAGAGGAGTGAGAGAAGACACAACGACAATGATGGAGAAACTTTTGATAGTTGTGCAGTTCGTTTGGAAAGTTGGCATTGGCGTGCTCAAGACTTATAAGTCCAACATAATGCCACTCCTCTGGCAGTCTTGTCACGAGCTGCACAAATCCAGGGTCCCCGTCAATCAACAAAAGGAGTTTGTTGGAAAGGAATGGAGCCTACCTGTTTGTCTTTTGGTCTAAAGTCTCAAACCCGCAAATTCCATTGTCCCATGTTGGGTATAAAACGCTAGATTATAGGCCATCATATTGCACAGGGATCCATAGAGGTTTTCTAATAAATGCCAAAAAGGTGCAGTCACCTACTCCACTGAAAGATCCAAGCAGACGCCCCAAAAACACACTTGGTCAATAGTGCCTGTGCACTTTTATCCTTTAGATTTTTTTTCGCTGGGCTCGTTTAAGCTTTTGTTTTTAAAATGCTAAAAGCGTATTAATTCATCATAAAGAAGACCCCACTGTCCCAAGAAAGGGTCTCTCAAAGATCAAGTGGATCTGTCATGAACTCACCCTTTCATTATTTATCATCTCATAGCCCCAAATAACCCAAATGTATTGTTAATTTCTTGACCTGCCTCTACATTTTGGAAACTGTGGCAAGGAGCTTCACACAGTTTTACGCACCAAAAAAATAAAATTAAAAACCCCACAAAGAAAAACCAAAGAGTTCACCAGGAGACAACGTCAAAGAGTTGCTATGTGTTGCAGTGGCTAGAGCCTTTGCTCTAACATCTACGCGGGAGAGAACCACGCGAATCTCAATCCCATAATTGATTTTGATAAACTAACATGCATGGTGTGAGGAAGTCCTTTTGCACTGAGAGAAAATGAGAGTGTGTCCGAGAGGCCACCCCAAATCAGCAATGATAAAAGTGGAGCTGAAATGGGTTGTGGGATGGAATCAAGAGAAATGAGATACACCAAATTAGAAGAGATTGGCCTGATGGACTTGGATTAGAAGGAAAAGAGGTATATAGGGAGGGGATGACGAGAAAAGGAGGAGAGTGAGTGAGGGACTGTGTGAGTGAGTGCATATGTGGAAGATGGGGGGGGAGGGAGGAGGGAGGGGGTCTCGGTACTTGGCAGTCTCTGGGTATCTCAGGTTCTCTCCGGCCGGGAAAGCGGTCGATATTTAATTGTTATTGCTAGCATGGAACGCACGGAAGCGGGGCCTGTACGAAAATTTCTCATTTATTTGGTATTCTTGTTTTCTCTCCTTTTCCTCCCTTCACCCACCACCCCTGTTTGCGGGGTGGAGGAAAGTGAAAGGAGGTGTGGGGGTCTTGTGCGCACACTGGGGGCAAATGGAGAAAGGGGATGAGATCCTTGGATGACTCTGAAGGGGGGAAAAACACTGCGTCCTCCTCTCCCAAGTTTAGTTTCTGTCCCTAGACACATCATATCCACCCACCATCACCTCCACTCTGCCCCCCACCACCACTTGCCCCCCACCTCACTCCACTCTATCTACCCCCACCTGTCCAAAATGAAAAATCCGTCATTTTCATCAAACGTCCAACCAAATATTATCTACACTCCATTCCCGAAGATCGAATCTTATTTAGGGGCGACGGGATTCGCCATCTGTTTTTAAATTTCATTCCTCCATGAACTTTATTTTCCCTCGACTTTTGGACAAAATTATAACCCGATCGATCCGCTTTCTGGCCACCACCCGTCTACATATATTTTCCTCGTGCGGTCTCTTCACTGTGTGGGTCAATTTTGTGTCTCACGTCCACATGAACACGTGCAGAACACCGTCTGCAGCTGATAGAAACTTAAATGCAGTCCGGCTGATGTGAGGTGGAGGTTCAGGCTCTGCACCTTCATTTTTTTTAAACCTCCCCCCTATTTCTGCGCTCTCATCCTTACATCCCTCCCAGCGCCCGGATCTCTACCTTTTCGCGCTCTCTCCCCTCGCACCTCTGACCGTTTCTCCTTGTTTTCCTTTTCATGTTTTGCTAACATTGCTAATATAAACTATATCATAACAGAATACGGACAGATTGGAGTCCCTTTTTTCCTCGTCAACTTTTTTTTTCCCGCTCCGAGGATAACTTTTCTCCGGCTATAGTCCGCGCGCTGTTTGCTCATCTCACTCATTTTGATTTTTTTTCTGACGCCCTACGGGCGGTATTCACTCATATTGCCGCTCATACGTCATGCCAGTGTAACACTTCACCAATGTGGTTTAATGCAGGAGGAAGGATTCGCTGTTAAATTGCTCGATTACCACCAGTCCTCTGCGCACGTCGACAGGATTCCCATCAACCTAAGTAGGAGCTGCCGGACAAGTCAATGAAGGTGCTTCGATGAAGGTAAGCATCCTACTTTCCCATTCTGTTACAGACAAGTGGCATTAATAATAGAGAAAAGCGTCAGGAATAAGAATCCCACGAGAAATATAATGCACTTTAGTGCGAGGGAAACATGCGCACCTCCTGCAGAAATTGATTGATGTAGGCTGTGTACGCTTGTGCGCCGGAGTTTGTTGAACAGCGCGCTGTACGCGGTACTTTCCCCTCAAATAGATCGGCAACAACTCCTAAAAGGTTCCTGCTTTAAAGTGAAAGCGTGTTTATGTGTTGAATTCGTGGGTTTGTATCCTACAGCGGCTTCGGGGACCCAGACGCTAAGGAGAGGGGATGAAGGTAAACAAATGTGCGGTGGAAAGTATAGCAGCTGTCGGGGAACTGAAACATGAACTTGGCAAATGAAGATTTTCGCTTCAAAAACTTGTTCAGCCAGGATGGAGCGTGTCCATTTGCGAGCATATCTCAGTACTCCATGCATTTAATTCCAGTGTGCATATGCATGGAATTATGGATTCATTTTAATCGTAAAAGTGGCTAAAGACATAGATCCTCTCAGATGCTAACCTGTACCTCTAGAAGAGTTTACACGGGGGTATTTAACTGTAGTTTATGTCCGTAAAGCTAAACCACAATGATTTTACCAGCTGAAATTTCAAATGCAGCTCCTTCTTTTGTGTATTATTCTTCACAAACGCCCATCTTATTACTTTTAAAAAGTATTTACCTTTTGGATTATGTCAAGTGTAATGTGTTGGTGCTGCGATGAAAGGGTATTTCACACAGTTCAAGATCCCAGCATCATCCTCGTGCTTTTGTCGTGCATTTTCGTGTTTTTGTGATTATGAAGAACAACCCGAACATAGACAGCAGAGAAATGAGACTCTAATCTTTGAGGTCCCACTGATGTCACTCTGCAGATGCTGCTTTGATGCAGAAAATCAGACTGACTTTGTGTATTCATACAGCGCTGGAATTTCTATACTTTTAATACTTTTTCATGCGTTTTGTTGTGTTAATTTTAGTTACAAATCAGTGAAGGTTGGCCAAAAGGTCAAGGTCACATGGACCTTTCCTCTACATGTGTATAACCTTTTTTCATCTAACAATTTTTCACATTCCCAAACCTGAACATGTGCAGTTTTATTATGATAATTCTTATGACCAGTCCTTAAATAAATTTAGGGTGATGGCTTTTTTATGTGGTATAATGAAAAATGTACTGAAAAGCGCTGCGAAGATTTTAGTGTAAAAACTGTTTCTCACACTCTGCCCTGCTTGTGGGTCCACAGTGGCCTGAAGGGCAGTCTGGATACTGTCAGCTTGACCTTTGCATTGATTTCAACTTCACGTCACACAAGGTCAAAAGCATCACACTGATGGCTCTGGTGGTTTTCTCATTTGATCGGAATCAAATATACACTCGAAATGATGCATTTGCATCGACATGTGTGCACGTCTCAGTAGCCTATGCAACTGCATGCAATTTATTTATCTATGTAATTATGGATTAATAATAATGTATCCTATAATGCATAATTATTAATCAATCAGTATTATTAATCATACAGATCCTCTCAGATGCTAATCTAAGAATGTAGAAGAGTTTACATATATTTATGTCTGTGCCAACAGACATAAAGCACCCAGGAATTATTCTGGAAAATAAGAAATGTCGTCCATGTCTGTGTTAGCCGCGCAGTCACATGTGAGAGAGCCAGACTGCTGCTGCTGTTGTTAGATGATATATTTACAGTGTTTAGGTAATATTCTGAAGTAGTGTAATAAACAAAATCAGCGCAAACAGCCTGAAAATGGCTGAGAGTGTTTAATCTCAGCCAAATTGATTATATGTTTTTGCTGCTAAGATGTGACAAAATTGGTTTTCCCTATAAATCGCTGAGCAGAAACCAAAGACGTTCCATAACATGAGCTTTAAC